GGACCAGGAAGAGGAGGAGGAGGAGGAGGAGCATAAGAGCTAGGATCAGTTATGCTCCTTCCTCTTCATCCTTATCCTCCCCCTCCTCCTCCTCCTCCTCCTCCCACTCTTGCTTGCTCCTCCTCCTCCTCCTCCGCCTCCTCCTCTTCCTACTCCTCCTCGTCCTCCTCCTTCTCCTTTTCCTTCGGGTGTGTAAGAGCTGTCTCGGGGATCTCTCGGGGGCGTCTTGGGGGACTTTGGGGGGGTTATCGGGTGCTCCAGACCCCACCAGGCCAAGGCTATTTGAGACAGCGTGCGCCAGCCCAATGATCACAGGTGGGCGGTTGCAAACAGAGAAAACTCGCAACCGACTGCGACGCGGCAAACGAGGAGGCCGGTAAGGGAGAAGGGCGGAGACGGAAGACGACCACGACCACGACCACGACGTCAATATCCGCTCCACATCAATCCCCAGACCCGTTCTGGAGTCCACCCCAGCGGCCCCAGGTAGATGTTCGACCCAGGTCGAATATGCTCCAAGACGGGTCGATGTTCGACGGCCCCAGAAACCAAAATTATCCCAGTGCGACCCTACCTAGGAGTTGGAGCATCTAGGAAAGCAACATCTACATCTACACCGACAGCTATGCTACGCTATGCTGCGCTATGCTGCGCTATGCTGCGCGATGCTATGATATGCAAGGGTACGCTCGGCTGCGCTGTGTTATGCTATGCTATGCTATGCTATGATATGTTATGCTATGCTTTGCTATGATATGCTGCGTTATGCTATGTTATGCTATGCTATGCTACGCTATGATATGATATGATATGATATGCTGCGCTATGCTATGCTATGCTAGGCTAGGCTATGATGTACTATGATGTTATATGTTATGCTATACTATGCTATGATATGATGCGCTATGCTATGATATGTTATGATATGATGTGATATGATGTGCTATGTTATGCTATACTGCGCTGTGCTATGCTAAGCAATGCTATGATATGCTATGATATGCTGCGCTAAGCTAGGCTGTGCTATGCTATGCCATGATATGCTGCGCTATGCTATGCTATGCTATGTTGTGCTATGCTATGCTGCGCTATGCTATGCTATGCTATGATATGCTGCGCTATGCTATGCTATGCTGTGCTATGCTATGACGTGCCGTGCTGTGCTATGCTATGCTACGCTATGCTATGCTGTGCTCTGCTATGCTAAAGCTCAGCGAAGCTAAGATGAAGGTAACCTAAGCTAAGATAAACCTGAGCTAAGACGAAGCTAAGCGAATCTAATATGACATCAGCTAAGCCAGGATGATATCAGCAACGCTAAGCTAAGGGGACGTCACTGGGGAAACCACGGGGCGGATGCCGGGGGAACCGCCCGGGGCGATTTCCACTGCCCGGCCCCTTAAGCTTCCGCGGTAAGAACCCTTCCAGGCAGAGCCTAGGTAGGGAATAAACCTGAGCTAAGATGAAACTAAGCTAAGCTAAGATGAAATAAGCTAAGCTAAGATGAGATAAGCAACGCTAAGCTAAGGGGACGTCACCGGGGGAACCACGGGGCGGATGCCGGGGGAACCGCCCGGGGCGCATTCCACTGCCCGGCCCTGTAAGATTACCGAGTAAGAACCCTTCTAGGCAGAGCCTAGGTAGGGAACGGTGCCCAGATGCTCAAATCAAAGAGAAATCTCTAGCGCGACATGTTTCCAAGCCGCGACGACAACGGCAGCGACGATCACGACCACCAAGACGACAAGGAAGGCCGACGACGACAAACGACGAACGACGACGGCCACAACCACCACGACGACCAAAACTCCTTGTCCATCTCGTCCATCCTCCATCCTCCTCATCCACCCCCCACCCTCCCCCTCATCCTCTGTCCTCCTCCTCCTCCTTCTCCTCCTCTTCCATCCTCCGTCCTGGTCACCATCCTGCTCTCCCTCATCCCGCACGGCGACGACGAACAACGACTCCTCCCATTAATCCTGCTCACCCCCCTCCTCCATGCTCTTCCTCTACTATCATCCTCCATCCTACTCCTCCTCCCTCATCCTACTCCATCCTCCTCGTCCTGCTCCCCCGACGACGACAGCGACAGCGACGGGGACAACGACTGCGGCCTTCCGAGGACCCCCCGAAGCCTAGAGAGGGCCGAAAACGCCCACAGGCCTCAAACCTCGACCCTGGATAAGTAAACGACGGTGACGGCGACATCAACTTCCTCGACCGCAAGAATGTTTCACAGCAAATACCGGTTAAAGGCGCCACGCAGAGCGACGGCAAGCTCGCAGTGGGAGCCGCAACAAGCTAAGTGAAACCAGTGCTTCTGCTGAGTGCCAGTCTGTTGGCCTTCAGCGCCCAGGCCCCGCCCATGCGGCGGGCCTCGTCGAGCGGCAGCACGCTCCGCCTGCGCGCGCGCGCGCTCGCGCGCCAGCTGCGGCCCTGCGGCGGCCTTCGTGGATCGAGGGTCGAACGCTTCTTTTGGGACCGAGCAGAAATCTGGGCGAACAGCAATTCGGTGAAATGTTCCTGCTCCTGTGGGCAAAATCGAAAACGAACGATACCATGTCGACTCGTGCTTTGTTTGTTTGCAACTTGCGCGCCCCCCCTCGGTCTTCAGGGACCTCCGGGGGCAGTGGGCCGCCAGGGGGAGCCTCGGGCGGCCCTCGGCGTCGGGCGACGCTCGGCGCACTTCGAGGATCCAGGTCCGAGACCTCCGTCTCCCTCCTCCTCCTTCCTCCTCCTTCCTCCTCCCTCCTCCTCCCTCATCCTCCCTCCTCTCCCTCTCTCCCCCTCGCCGCGCCCTCCTTCCTGCTCTCCTCGCTATGCCTTCTCTTCCTTACCCTCCTCTCTCCTCCCTCACCTCCTCTACTTTCTCTCCCTCACCCGCGCTCGCGCGAATGCGCGGACGCAAGCGGAGGGGCGGTGAAGGAGGCCGAAAACTTGGGAATCCTGGGAGGCCTCAGGAGGACCGATACCTCCAGCAACTGAGTTTCTCAATCCGACCGTTCTCCTCAATCGGCCTTTGGGGGCTGTTTTCCATGCCCCGGGGCTGCCGGGAGCGGACCCAAAACGAACAACTGCCCCCAGGGAAGCCCGGGACGATCTCAACACCCCCGCTCCGGCGCACCTGGGGCGCTCTACCCCTCGAGGTTGGGGGGGTGAGGCCGCCCTGCGCCACCCTGGGAGCCTGTTCGGGCGAGCTTTGATTTTTGTCAGCGATAACCTGCGGGTCAGAGTCTGAGGCTCGATCCGTCTGGAGCGTGGGGACTTCGGCCGTCCGCGGGCGGCTGCCCGCGCCGGATCTCCTCCCCAGACCACCCCCGAGATCAATGAAGCGGCATCGAAGCGGGAAATTGGATCGGATCAGAACGTGCGTCGGATCGGACAGCGCCGAAATACACACCCGCGCCTTGCAAGCATTGAGCAGCATCGGATCGCCAGAAAATCGCACTCGAATCGGATCGAACCAGCCGGAACGGATCTCGAACCGGATCGCTGGGAACGAAATGGGCCCCGCCTTACCAGGCGCGCCCCAAAATCGCAAGGGCTGAAACACACAATCCGCGGGAGGTCTGGGCGCCTGGGCCTGCCGGGCTCGATCGGGCCGAGCGTACGCGCCAGGGAAACGGAGAGCGTCAGTGGAGTTTGGTCGCGCGCAGGCCTTCAGCGGAGGCATGGGGGCGAGGGGGCGAAGGGGGGCGAAAGGGTGGGCGATGCCGTCGACGAAGCCGTCGTCGAAGACGTCGTGCAATTCGGGGGAAATCCTCGCGGATCTCCGAAAGCGCATGCTTGCCCCGGTTTTCTTGCGAGCGCATTACCGAGGTCGCGCGCCTGGGGGCAGCCTCGCGTCCCGAATCAACGCCTGATGGCCCAAGGGGCCCCAAGACGGCACCCAGAGGGCGAGACGAGGAAAGCTTGCTGTGGTCAGCGGCCGCAGGGGGGTCAGACGACGGTCGAGCAGCGGCGGAGCGCGCCGAAGCACAGCGAGACACGAGGAGAAGAGCACGCGCCGAGGCGCGAGGGCGAGGGAGCCACACTCAGGCCATGGAAGTCCACGTGTGCGCGCCGAGGTGCAGGTCCTTGAAATGCTAAGCACGGAAAACACCCGAAGGTATAAGGTATGGGAAGTCCCAAGCCGCCGCGCGCCAGGGGGTCGGGGGACGCCGCCGGGGAGGGCGCATGGAAGGGCGCGGCTCGCGCGGGCGCGCGCGCGAGCGGCGACGAATCTGGCCCCAAGGCGACGACAACAACGTTGGCGACGACAGCGGGTGGCGCCGCCGCCGTCCGCGCCGCTGCCCAATCCCCTGACGGTCGCTCAAGGCTTCCGAAGGCCTCCTGAGTCACCAGAGGTCCCGCGACGACGACGGTGGCGCCCGCAACGCCGCCAGGGAAGTCAGAGGGCGCAGGCCCCATGGAGGAGAAGGACGGCGCGTTTGAGGAAGCTGCAGATCGCGTCTGCTCGCTCCTCGATCCTTCGGGAGAGCGACTGACTTCTCGATCCCTCGGGAGACGGCCATCGGCGGGACCTGCTGCATCCCTTCGCTCAATTCGGACGCGCGTCTCGCCCTCGCTCTCGCCATTCCGCCTCGCCGCCGAGACCTCGACTCGAGGGCGAACCTGGTGCCTGGGACCAAGTAGACGGCGGTGGAGGGAGGAGATTTGGCTCCCGGGGGGGCAGCTGTTCACCGCGGAAGTGTCTTCTGACAGCCCCAGGACCTGGAAGTAGAGCCCGCAGCCCGAAGCTGGGGAGAAGCGCCGGGTTCGGAAGCGCGTCGGAGGTGCGGTCCTGCGGAGGCAGTCGGAGGCGCAACATAAGCAGACCTTCCAAATGCCTCGGTCCCCTCGAGCCTCCGCCTCGGACCGAGGGGTGCGGACGACCACGACCATCCCGCGGCCGAGGGGTGTGGCTGACGACGACGACGACGACGACGACGACGACGACGACGACGACGACGACGACGGCCCCATCGACTCGGGACACACTCGGGCAGCCTGGAGATCGTTTTACGGAGTGCGGACAGCAACCATCGCGGCTCGCCACAGTGCGGCTAACGCTACAGCGTGAGACACAAGACAACCAGTGGTATGGGCTGGCCTCGCAGAGACTACTGCGCCCACGGCCTCAACAATGTGCATCCCTCTGCAAGGCTGGCGCCGGTCCATGCTTGGCATTCCGGGCGCAAGGCAGTGCGCCTGTAGGAAAAGACAGTGGGTGAGACTGGATGAAAGCCTGGCCTTGGATAAGCAAGTCTCTCAGTTAGGGGCGCAGGTGATTGAAGACAGCTGTTTTTTGTTTGTGGCAGGCGACCATGGACCTTGGGAACATGAGACACGACGACACGCTGTACCCAAATAGTTACTAATATTGTGGTCCCTTCTGGAAAAAAGCGGGTGACGCCATCCGTTTTGCTGGAGGGAAAGTAAGTATCCCAACAGTGGCGTTCAAGGCGCTGCGTGAATACATGTCGCCGTCTTGTCTGGCCTGCGACTGTCTGCTCCGATGGCTCGGTAGAGAAGCAAACAGAACTATCGTTAGAGTGCGGCAGGCACTACCAAGGGATCCCAGACAATATGGATACACGCTGCTGCGCGTGCCAACACGCGCGGAAGTGTATCGAACAAAGTCTGGTACACAGCTGGCGTCGCCCAGGCTTTCCTATCCAAGACCACGGGTGTACGACGAGGATGGGTCAGATATCCCCAGGCCTTTGGCACCGTAATAGTTGTCGCCACGTGGACCACCCGAAACTCTCGACTCGACCCCTTCCGCGGGACCATGTTTTCCCGACTTCCCTTCTGGGCTGGCCTTTGATGGTCCCAGGGCCCCGATACGGCCCCTGAGCGCGGAGAGTAAGGTAAAGCCGCCGGTTTCTCTCTGTCTCTCTCCCTCTCTCTCCCTCCGCAAAGCCCAGAGGCCTGGGTGCGTACCGAGAGAACTGGTCAGAGAGATGGAACAAGAGAAAGCGAAGACTCAAGCAGAGCGAGGAAGTCCATGGGAGCAGGGTGCAGGCAGTAAATCCGCCAGCCCCATGGGGGGCGCGAAGGCCAAGATGGCCCCATGATGGGCCCCAGAGGCCCATAGCTAGCTCCAAGATGGCTCCAAGACTTCTCAACATGGCCCGAAGGTGGCCTTAGACGCCCCAAGATGTCCACGAGTGGCTGTCTCAGGACAGCCGCAAGATGGCTCAGCATGGGCCAGCGGCAGGCGCAGCGCTTCAGATATTCAAGAGTAGTCCGCATACTTCAGCCTCTCAGACTCTTGCGATGCGCTTTCACCCAGCGCTGAAACCAGGTGGACAGCCCGACTGCCTTGGTCTGAGAGCTGGAGCGGTTGGCCGCACTCTCGGCACACGGGAACAACTCATCCTGGGGAGAGAAAAGGTACACACCGCCGCCGGGCATCCACAGGCCCATTTCTTCGGCGTGGCCTTGAGCCATATCGGATCCTGGCCAGGCCAGGAGGCCGTCCACACCAAGGTCTAGCCCAAACTGGGCCTGTAGATGCCCAGCAGTGCCCCCCCACCACCCCGGTGCCACAGGCACTGAGTGATGTGCCCTCGGGCCCTCAAAACAATCCTGCATTGGATAGTGCCCTTGTGGTATGGCGCTGCCCCAGGGAGCCCCCAAGCGGCCCCGAAGGAATCCTCAAGAGGGTCATGTCCTAGGACCCAGGAGGCCGCGGTGCTGGAGCAAATGTTCCAACTGCACCTGGCGCCCAAAACCCAGGCACGGTGGCGGAATGGGCTGAAGGCCACACCATACTTACACTCTCCCGACATCTCGTGGTCCGGGGGAGAAGAACCAGCCCCCAAGCCCACAATGCGGTGTAACATGTTGAGCCGGATTTCGAAGAGAAGCCAGCCAAGGCGACGAGAAATCTCCTGGAGGTCTCCAAGAAAGCGCCCGACAGGTCAGAGAGCCTGCATCCTCGATCGTCGAAGGCCCGGGGCCAAAAGCCACACGACACACTGGCATGAAGCAAGCGGGTCCTGAACCCTGGGGGCCTTGCCCAGAACCAGCCTTTAGCTTGAGCTACGTTCTGGCAATCCCGCGGCCGTTGAAAGGCCCTGGGGAAGCCCAAAGCACTGAAAAAGATCAGGGGTCCCGTTTCCATGGCGGCGAATTCTCTCTCCCGACATCTTTGTAGAAGCGCTTCATGAAGCCGTGCGCCTCGGTGTACTTGACCAAATCCTGAGGCAGCTCGCTCATCCCGGAGAGCACGTCGCGCTCGCTGAGCGAGAAGCTGAGTGTGCCCATCATGGTGTCCACGTGCATCAGCGCGCCTCGAGACTTCTCCATGGTGGTCGTGCGGTCGTAGTGGCGCTTCATCTCGTCCAACTTTTGCTTCTCCTGAAGCTCGTATGTTTTGCGACATGTGTTTTTTTTTGGGGGGGGTTATGCCACGGCTACACGCGGCTCGAAAAGCAAGCCAGGATGGGCCCCAAGAGAGCCAGGACGTCCAGCTTGGAGCGCGAGCCAAACAACGACATAGTCATGAACTTTCTGAGGTCCGCGCGGGTTCCTCTGGACGGCCATGGACCCCCTGACCAACACCTCTTCGCTGATGAAGCGCGCCAGGGGCGGCGCCAGATGCTCCGCATGTGAGAAGGGGAGGTGCGGCGTCGACCACAGAAATCGGCGCGGACCCCAGGCAATATGTGGTTGTGCTGCTTGATCTCCGCTCAACGCTGACCCCAGACCCGTCCCAGGCTCTATCCTCCCAAATGTTTTTCCCAACCATCCTGTGGTGTTGGGTCCTCGTTTTGAAGAGACTGCGCCCCGCGTCACTCCTCCTCTCCTCTCCTCTCCTCCTCCTCCCCCCCCTCCTCCCTCCTCCCATCGTCATCGTCATCATCATCGTCATCCTCATCCTCATCCTCATCCTCATCCTCATCCTCATCCTCATCCTCATCCTCATCCTCATCCTCATCCTCATCCTCATCCTCATCCTCATCCTCATCCTCATCCTCATCCTCATCCTCATCCTCATCCTCATCCTCATCCTCATCCTCATCCTCATCCTCATCCTCATCCTCATCCTCATCCTCATCCTCATCCTCATCCTCATCCTCATCCTCATCCTCATCCTCATCCTCATCCTCATCATCATCATCATCATCATCATCATCATCATCATTATCATCATCATCATATCCTCATCATCGTCATCACCAACGTCATCACCGCCATCATCGCCATCATAATCCTCACTACCGCCATCATCACCATCATCGTCATCATCATCGCCGTCATCATCACTATCCCCTCCACACGTTTCGTGACCACATAGGGAGCTCTACCGAAGGCCCCAGTGCCACCGCCCGCATGCGTCACACACACACACACAATACGAACACCCCTCCCACGCTTCGCGGCCCCATAGGGAGCTCCACCGAAGGCCCCAGTGCCACCGCCCGCATGCGTCACACAAACACACACACACACACCCAATTCGGCACACCCCTCACACGTTTAGTGGCCCCATAGGGAGCTCCACCGAAGGCCCTAGCGGCTGCGTTCGCATGCGCCCACCGCGCTCATCTCGGCACACCCCTCACACGTTTAGTGGCCCCATAGGGAGCTCCACCGGAGGCCCCTGTGGCTGCGTTCGCATGTGCCCACTGCACCCATTTCGGCACACCCTTCATTCGTTCCGTGGCCCCACAGGGAGCACCACCGAAGGCCCCAATTGCTGCGTTCGCATGCGCCCACCGCACCCATGCCGGCACACCCCTCACACGTTTCGTGGCCCCACAAGGAGCTCCACCGAAGGCCCCAATGGCTGCGTTCACATGCGCCTACCGCACCCATTTCGGCTCACCCCTCACACGCTTCATGGCCCCATAAGGAGCCACACCAAAGGCCCTCGTGGCTGCGTTCGCAGGCGCCCACCGCACCTTGTTCGGCACACCCCTCACACATTTCGTTGCCCCCATAGGGAGCCCCACCGAAGGTCCCCGTGGCTGCGTTCGCATGCGCCCACTGCACCCTGTTCGGCACACCCCTCACACGTTTCGTTGCCCCAAAAGAAGCTCCACAGAAGACCCCAGTGGCTGCGTTCGCATGCGCCCACAGCACCCATGTCGGGACACCTTCACACGGTTCGTGGCCCCACAAGCAGCTCCACCGAAGGTCCCGATGGCTGCGTTCGCATGCGCCCACCGCACCCATGTCGGCACACCCCTCACACGTTTCGTGGCCCCATAAGGAGCTCCACCGAAGGCCCCAGTGGCTGCGTTCGCATGCGCCCACCGCACTGATTTCGGCTCACCCCTCACGCGATTCGTGTCCCCATAGGGAGCCCCACCGAAGGCCCTAGCGGCTGCGTTCGCACGCGCCCACCGCACCCATGCTGGCACACCCCTCACACGTTTCGTGGCCCCACAGGGAGCACCACCGAAGCCCCAGTGGCTGCGTTCGCATGCGCCCGCCGCACACATGTCGGCACACCCCTTGCACGTTTCGTGGCCCCACAGGGAGCACCACCGAGGCCCCAGTGGCTGCGTTCGCATTCGCCCGCCGCGCCCATGTCGGCACATCCCGCACACTTTCCGTGGCCCCATGGAGAGTTCCCTCTCGTTCGTCCAACCTGCCTTGCGGCACTCGCCCACCGAAGGCCTTAGTGGCTGCGTTCGCATGCGCCCGCCGCACCCACTGCGGCCCACACCCCGCACGGTTTGTGGCTACATACGGAGCTCCACCGAAGGCCCCAGTGGATGCTTCTTGAGGCTTTTCGGAAGACTCTCGGTGGTCTCTGGGGGGGGGAGTTCTGAGGCTGATTGGGAGCCTCTTGGGGGCCTCTTGGGGGCTTCGTGGAGGCCTCTTGGGGCGTCGTGGGGGCCTCTTCGGGACCTCTTGGGGGCCTCTTCGGGGTTCTGGGGCCAGGGGTTTGCAATGTCGGTTCGGGTTCCCCTTCCGGGGCTCCTCTTGAGGCCTTCTTGGGTTGTTGTCTTGGAGGCCTCTTGGGCCACCCGTTAAAGGGATGGGTAAAGTAGCAGGAAGAAGAGGCGGGAGGCGGAGGAGAAGGAGGGCGAGTAAGAGGAGGATGTGGACAGTGAGGAGGAGAAGGAGGAGGAGGAGGAGGAGGAGGAGGAGGATGAGGAAGGGGGAGGAGCAGCGGGGTGAGGTTGGACCGGTGCCGGGCGCATCCGTGTCACAGGTCGACAGACATCTATTTGTTCGCTGCTTTCGGGAGAGTTCTCGTCGCCAAGGCTGGACGCGCCTCCTAAAGTGTCTTGTGATGTGCGACGGAGCGAGCCCGAGCCCACTGATCAAGGCACGCATGGTCGACGTAATGTGTTTTTTTAGCATTGCGTCAACTAGTATTCTTCCCTTGCTCATCACAGCAGGAAGCGTTCACGCATGGGGGGGTTGACGGGGAGCTTCCCAGATTCCGAACATACTCTTTTTGTCTTGAAGCAGGAAGCGCTCGCAATTTGCCAAAACAAATGTTCTCGGGCCGTGGGATTTTTGCGGGGGCCGGAGGGTCACGCGATCGCGGGGGCGGAGGAATGGCGGGCGGCATCACAGCCACCGAACGTTTTCGTTGTTCCCAACCATCCTGTGGTGTTGGGTTCTCGTTTTGAACAGACAGCGCCTGCGTCCTTCCTCCCGCTGAACCCCCTCCCTCTGCCCATCATCAGCATCCCAATCGTCGGCATCATCGTCACCATCATCATTACCATCATCATCATCATCATCATCATCATCATCATCATCATCATCATCATCATCATCATCATCATCATCATCATCATCATCATCATCATCATCATCATCATCAAATCGGCACACCCCTCACACGGTTCGTGGCCCAAAACGGAACTCCACCGAAGGCCCCAATTGGTGCGCTCGCATGCGTCACCGCCACACATTAAGCCACACCTGTCACACGGTTCGTGGCCCCATAGGGGGCACCGCCAAAGGCCCCAGTGGGTGCGTTCGCGCACGTCACCGCCACCCAATTCGGCACACCCCTCACACGGTTCGTGGCCCCAAAAGGAGCTCCACCGAATGCCCTAGTTGGTGCGTTCGCATGCGTCACCGCCACCCAATTCGGCACGCCCCTCACACAGCTCGTGGCCCCAGAAGGCGCTCCACCGAAGGCCCAAGTGGGTGCGTTCGCATGCGTCAGCGCCACCTATTACGGCACACCTGTCACACGCTTCGTGGCCCCATAGGGAGCACCACCGAAGGCCCCAGTGGGCGCGTTCGCATGCGTCACCGCCACCCATTACGGCACACCCCTCACACGGTTCGTGGTTCCATAGGGAGCTCCACCGAAGATCCAAATGGGTGCGTTCGCATGCGTCAGCGCCACCCATTACGGCACACCCCTCACACGGTTCGTGGCCCCACAGGGAGCTCCACCGAAGGCCCCAGTGGGTGCGTTCGCGTGCGTCACCGCCACCCTTTTACGGCACACAACTCACGCGTTTCGTGGCCCCATAGGGAGCTCCACCGAAGGCCCCAGAGGCTGCGCTCGCATGCGTCAGCGCCACTCAATACGGCACACCCCTCACACGGTTCGTGGCCCCAAAGGGAGCTCCACCGAAGGCCCCAGTGGGTGCGTTCGCATGCGTCACCGCCACCCAACTCGGCACACCTGTCACACGGTTCGTGGTTCCATAGGGAGCTCCACCGAAGGCCCCAGTGGGTGCGTTCGCATGCGTCACCGCCACCGATTACGGCACACCCCTCACACGGTTCGTGGCCCCATAGGGAGCTCCACCGAAGGCCACAGTGGCTGCGTTCGCATGCGTCACCGCCTCACATGTCGGCACACCCCTCACACGGTTCGTGCCTCCACAGGGAGCTCCACCGAAGGCCACAGTGGGTGCATTCGCATGCGGCACCGCAACCCTTTACGGCACACCCCTCGCACGGCTCGTGGCCCCACAGGGAGCTCCACCGAAGGCCCCAGTGGGTGCGTCCCCATGCGTCACCGCCACCCATTCCGGCACACGCCTCACGCGTTTCGTGTCCCCATAGGGAGCTCCACCGAAGGCCCCAGTGGCTCCGCTCGCAGGCGTCACCGGCACACCCCTCACACGGTTCGTGCCTCCACAGGGAGCTCCGCCGAAGGCCACAGTGGGTGCGTTCGCATGCGGCACCGCAACCCTTTACGGCACACCCCTCACACGGTTCGTGGCTCCACAGGGAGCCCCACCGAAAGCCCCAGTGGCCGCGTCCCGATGCGCCACCGCCGCCCATTACGGCACACCCCTAACACGGTTCGTGGCCCCATAGGGAGCTCCACCGAAGGCCCCAGTGGGTGCGTCCGCATGCGTCACACCCCTGACACGGTTCGTGGCCACATAGGCCCCAGTGGTGGTTCCCGGTGCGTACCACACTCGCGGTACCCACAACTGCAATGGTTGGGTCCTTCGCCAGGATAATGTTTTAACCCCGCATCAGGCCATGGCCGCAAGCCCCCCCCGATGCCCCCCACAAAGAAAGCAGCATCATATTCTCCTGGCGAAGGACATCGGTGAACTCGTCCTCGTTGAAGTAACGGATGTCGACGTCCTCCTGCTCGCCATCGGACTCCTCTTGAGTTTTATGCTGCTTCAGGGGCTCTGGTAAGCGAGGGTAAATGAAAAGGAGCAGGAGAGTAGGAGGAGATGGAAGTGGAGGGGAAGGAAGAGGAAGAGGAGGATGCGGAGGAGAAGGGGAAGGAAGGTGAGGAGAAGGGAGAGCATAAGAAGCAGGGGGAGGCGGATGGTGGGGAAGATGATCATGGATAGTGGAAAGAACGAGGAGGAGGAGGAGGATCGGGAGCGGCCAAGAGAGGGGGGTCCAAGAGGGAGGGGTGCAAATCATGGCCGGCGGCATGTGCGCGGCCCAGCGGGGGGGCCAGGGGCGCAACGAAATCCGCCGATCCGGCGTGTGAGTTTCTGAGAGCGTGGGCTTGAGCTCGCTCAAGCCTCGCTCTGCGGGGGGGGGGACCTCATTTCCGACCTCATTCCGACCTAATTCAGTGCTTCGCCCCCCCCCCCCTCCCAGAGCGGAACCCCCCATCCCCTGCAGAACGCCCCCTCCCGCTTCCTGCAGCCCAGCCCCCCCCCCCCCCCCCCCTGCAGAGCGGACCTCGCCCCTGTAGCCCCCCCGCCCCACTGCAGAGCGAACCCCCCCTCCCCCTGCACCCCCCCCCCTGCAGAGCACCCCCCCCCCTGCAGAGCGGACCTCCTCCCTGCAGCCCCCCCCCCCCTGCAGAGCGGATCCCCCTCTCCTCCCCTGCTCCCCCCCCCTCTGCAGAGCAGACCCGCCCTCCTGCAGCCCCCCCCTCCTCCCAGAGCGGACCCCCCCCCCCTGCAGAGCGGACCGCCCCTCCTCCCGCAGCCCAAACCCTTCCTCCCGCTGCAGAGCGGACCCCGCCCCGCGCAGCCCCCCCCCCCCCTGCAGCGCGGACCCCCCTCCCTGCACCCGCCCCCCCCTGCAGAGCAGACTTCCCCTCCTGCAGCCCCCCCCCCTTCAGAGCGGACCACCCCTCTCCCTTGCAGTCCCTCCCTCTGCCGAGCGGACCCCCCCTGCAGAGCAGACCCCCTTCCTGCCCTTTCCCTTCAGTCCCCCCTACCATTACCGAGCGGACCCCCCCTGGAGAACAGACCCTCCCCCTGCAACCCAGCTCCCCCCCGTCGTCGTCGTCGTCGTCGTTGTCGTCGCGTCGTCGTCGTCGTCGTCGTCGTCGTCGTCGTCGTCGTCGTCGTCGTCGTCGTCGCTCGCGTCATCATCAACATCATCGTCGTCATCGTCATCGTCATACTCGTCAACATGTTCAACAATACCCTCATCATCAACACCATCAACATCACCATCATGAGCATCGTCATCACCATCATCGCCGTCATCGTCACCCTCGTCATAACCATCGTCGTCGTCTTCGTCATCATCATCTTCATCATCATCCTGATCATCATCTTGCGGAGCGCCCCGGATCGGCGGCACTGGCCGGAGGCCACTACAATAAGAAGAGGCGCCATGAAATCTGGAGAGATATCATGGCCCACGCCATGATATCCACCACCCCCTAGTCATCACCCCCCTCTTTGCCGCCCCCGAGAGGAGGAAGAGGAGGGGGAGAAGGAGGAGCAAGATGATGAGGAGGAGGAAGGATTAGGATGTGAGATGAGGGGGAGGAGGAGCATGGTGAGGGAGAGGAGAAGAGGGGGGGAGGGCAAGCTAGGTGCGCTCGCGTCATATCTGACGTCCTACCCCTCCCTCCCATCCCTTACCATGGCGCTGATTTTCTCTATCCGCGGACGCGTGTCGTAGCGGACCTGTGGCTCCGCGCGCGCGTGCGTAGTGGGTGGTGGTGCACGTGCGTGCGTGCGTGCGTGTGTGCGTGGTTGTCGTGGTGGTGGTGGTGGTGGTGGTGGTGGTGGGTGGTGGTGGTGGTGGTGGTGGTGGTGGTGATGGTGGTGGTGGTGGTGGTGCTGTGTGGTACTGGTGCTGGTGGTGGTGTGTTGTAGCTGGTGCTGGTGCTGGTGGTTGGTGGTTGTGGTGGTGGTGTGGTGGTGGTGTTGGTGGTGGTGGTGGTGTGGTGGTGATGTGGTGGTGGGGTGCTGGTGTGTGGTGGTGGTGGTGGGGTGTGGTGGTGGTGTGGGTGGTTTGGTGGTGGTGGTGCTGGTGGTGGTGGTGGTGGTGGTGGTGTGGTGGTGGTGGTGGTGGTGGTGGTAGGTGGTGGTGGTGGCGGTGCGGCGCGGTGGTGGCGGGCGGATGGGCGCGCGAGAAAGAGGCCTGCGCTGGGGCGAGAACGCCATCCTGAACGACGGAGGCCAAACACCGATCCGAAAATGAGGCCCACGCTGCAGCGGGAGCACGATTCGGAACGATTCGGGAGCAGAAATGAGGCCGGCGCCTCAACGAGAGCAGCATTTTGGGAAAAAATGACGCCGGCGCCTCAGCGAGAGTCGTTTCCCGGGATTTCCCGGGCATCCTGTGTAAAAAACAGTACGCGGAGGGTGCGCGGCCATCACCCGGACGCCATCAGGGGAAGAGGGAGAGTATATTCATATTGAGTAGTTGTAGAGGGGAGGAAGATGAGAAGGGGGGAAAAACGCGAAGAAAGTTCCCCCCTCCCAACACCGCAGATCGGACACCGCAGATCACTGCAGCTTGCTGTCGAAGATAGTGAGACCGAAGAGGGAGAGAAATCCAAAAGGACGAGAAAGAAGTGAACCAGGGGGGCGAATGATCGAAAGAGACCAGGGCAAGGTTGACACTGATTCGCACTCATGGCAGATCATGCATGGAGATGAGGAGGAGGAGTTCACAATAGGGGACGGGAAAGGGGAAGGAGGCGTACACAGTATGGAAGGGGAGGGGAAGGAGGAGAAAATGATAAGGAGGGATGAGGAAAGAAGGAGGAGCCGCTTACCCTGCGTACCGCAGCCCCTGAAGATTACATCGTCCTCCTCAACCTCCTCGTACCCGTCCTGCTGGTCATAGTCCCCCTCCTCCTCATCATCAACCTCCTCCTCCTGCCCTTCCTCCCCGTGTCGAGAGAGATCGTGTTACCAGCCTCTGAGCGGTGGACACGTGGCCAGCACTGCGAGATCGTCGGCATCTGTGGCACAAGGGACGGCAACTTGGAGGAATGTACGGCGGAGTTGCGCACCGGAGACGATCGCAGCAACAGCAGCGACAGTGAGGCGAACAAGAAGAAGCGCAGGCGATCTTGACGGCCCTGCGACGGAAGCAGAGCACTCCAGGCCGCCTGCTCGGGCCGATGTCCCCCAGCAGCGGCGGGCGAGGCGCCTCGCGAGGGGGAGGCTACGCCGCGTCGGCGAAGCGCTGACGACGGCGACGAGACGGACCCCCCGCGCCCCGTGGCGGCCCCTCTCGGCACCGCCGCGGCAAGGGCAGAGGTGCACAGAAAGCAAGCCGGGCCGCCTGCGCGTGGCCCGAGCGTGAAGGGCGGCCGTGAAAAAAGGGCAGCGCGCGCAGCCGAAATGGCTGAGCGCGAGGTCTCGCAGGGGCGGGACTGGAGTCGAGGTGCGCACGACTACCGAGCGTAGGTCGTCACGTCGACATCATGCTGACCTTCCCGACTTTCTACTGAGGCGCCTGGCCTCGACGAACCCCCTGCCGCAGGAAATCAGTGGGGCCGTGGCGGTGGTCCAGAAAATCATCTGTGTATTCCTCCTCCTCCTGCTCCTCCTCCACCTCCTCCTCCTCATCTCTTTCGTCCTCGTCGTCATCCTCCTCCAAAGAAACGCCGATCCTCCGCCGAGGCCTCCGTGCGCATGCACCGCAGCTGGGAGGCGTTGACGAGCCACAGAGAGTCGTCCGCCAGGTCGTGGACAAACTGCACGACGACGACTGCGAATGGCAAATGGCAAACGATGCAACCACGACGTCACGACTAAGGACAACGATAGACGACGACGACTGGCGACGGCTGCGGCGGCGGACGACGGACGACGAGAAGAGAGCACAATTTGTTCTAGACGTGTGTAACTCTCGGGCCTCCGGACGCCTCCAGACATCTCTTG